GTACGCAGTATGCAGTATGAGACAAAGTGTTCACGTGGAAAACAAGAAATGTGTTGAAAAGCAAGTTGTTTGTACGCAGAATAAAAAAAAATTTTACACGTTTCGGTACTAAATCTTCGTGTCATCAAGTCCTAAATAGGGCTTTTGTTATGTACATTATTCCATTACTAAATGCGTCAACCCCACGTTATGACTTTGTATTAAGATAGCCCTAACCCTGATTTACTACCATTCACAAATGACATACCTTATTCCATGTGGGCAGGTAATCTACGGGATAGTAAAGTTTTTTTGGATTATTTCTGTATGAATATGCAAACCGCCTGTAGGCTAATTTATTGTTAATTAATGATAATATGTGATGAACACTCTCTTCTGTACCGATGTGGATGGCGAACATGATGCCCATTTCCCGATTAATCACATCTGATTTATTTTCCCTCAACTAACCCCATTTATCTAGTGATTCAAAAAATCGACTTTTGCCATTTGGTTATTTCTATCCAATCGTTACCCCCGCACACATAAACATTGCCTTCTTCCTTCCCCCTCTTGCTTATGATACATATTTAGAATATGTACACGTGATACACAACAGAATTGTGGCACGATTGTAAAAATTATGAACTAGAAATAGTAATATGACACTTGGTGAGCACGAGAGAAGTAAACAGAACGTGGATGTGTGCTGAACGGATAAACTCCTATCGAATAAGAATATTGGAGGACGAATTAATATGTGTGTGCATAACTTGCTAATATGTGATAATAAATCATGATCTCTGATCAAATATTATCACTTTATGCATCGAGGATTAGTATTCCACATGATTACATTTAATTCTATTTGTTCCCATCCGATAAGAAAGAGGTATTTAGAGTTTGGTGAATGGAAAAAAAAAATCACGGAGTTGACCGATTGAAAAGAGGAAAGAAATCAACGAACGTAATTGGAACATGTTTTGAAAATAGAGATAGACAAAAGGGATTAACAGGGATAAACAACACAAATATGACCAAAGCATGATACTCGAGTGTGTGTCATACAGATTAGTTTGTCACCGATTTATAGGTTGGGGTGGTTATATAGAAGGAAATCATTCACTCATTCATTCAATCGTCCATCCGTTTTCTGCGGGATGTTAATTCATGTGGTAATACATGGTCTGCGCCCTTTGATAACAGCTTTCACAGCACAACAAGCACAACCACGAGCAATGTGAATGCGGCCTGCTCTTGTGCATGCTATTCATGACCAATAGTTGCATACTTTTCACCGAACAATGAATAAGAAACATGTGGATATGAGTTTATAACATAATAACTACGTCATTGGTCATGGTTTAATAATGTCCGTCACTTATACTCACAAACTGTACATACTCGATAATTTGACTTCTACTCTTGTTCACCAGTTCACTCACTCATCGTCCTAAAACTTTTCCTGGTCTTGTCTCAATTTTACCCCACCTTTTTTTTCCCGGCCCCGCATCCTCCTCTCCCATTCCCCTCACCATCTACCCATATACCCATTCCTTTACCTCACCCAATTCGGGATGTATTGTTATACTGCATGTCAGCTGCACGTCAAGAGATGAAACATAGCCATCGGTCATTAAACCAATCATACAAAAACGATATGTAAGATGATTAAGCAGTATGATGCCATTACCGTATGTAATATGAATATATAAAGTAATCTGGTATCGCGGCGGTGTCTGTATGCATACCGTAAGACATACAGATGAGGGGATTGAATGATTAGACATTGAGATGCTGTGTGTAGTTTTTCAATGCAGTCTTATAGTCATTGTTTGAATGAGATTAAAATATGTACATTTTAAAATATATATTGAATAATTGGACAATCTAATCAGTAATTAAATTGATGTTCATTATCTTTATAATCAATTCATTCATTCATTCTTATCTTTGTTCATCAACCAACCTGTGCAAGATTGATTACTAATGAATGAGAGAACCCCCCCATTCTTTTTTTTTTTTTCAAATAAAATAATTAATTTTCCTTGATATTTTTTTCTCGTTATCGTTGCTCTGTTCTTTTTCTGTATTCTTCCTTCTTTTTCCTCTCTGTTTCTGTCTTGACACTGTCTCTGATACTGTCTCTGTTTCTCCAATTTCAATTTCAATTTCCATAATCTCCCAGTTCGTATGTAGATATCGACTATCGATACTCCCGACCTGCACCGTGAGAATGGACGATTGAGGGAACGTCTGGAATCACAAGATGTCCAAAGCGGTTCTAAGCCACAATGCAACTACCCAAAGTAGCCACAATCAAGAATCATAGACTTATCGGTATATTCCCCCTTGAAGTTTGTATTGGGCGCATTATCGTTATGTGATCATCATTATATGGGATACATTTAAATATGTGGCCTTTTAATTGGAAGGGGGATGATCGTTTTGTATGTGTGATCGATGAACACAGAGTAATAAATAACTTACTGTATGGATATTATAGAGTGTAACCATTCTAAAGAATAAAAAGTATACTATATAATATATACTACATTACTATTAATCGATCATACTAATAACCATAATTATATTGTGATATTATTTATGATGTAATAAATACAAATATAAATATAGTTTTTAGATTAGAACATTCAGTTATGCATTATTCATTGTTATTCATTGTACTCTGTATATTTTACTCGCCATTCATCTTCCGCTTGTATAAATTTAATTCACCCCATTTTTAATATTATGTCATACATATCATTACTATTAATACTTTTTTCTACAGAAATCATGCCTCTTGACACATCTCTCTTGTCGTTTTCGGCATATCTTCCACGCACATCTGTAACTCATCTGTAAGATATCGTTCCCACACAGTGAACCCTCCAATATAAAAAAGACTAAATACGCGACATTTATACCTCACGCTCCCCTTTCGCGCGTCGACTTCTGTCCCTCTCCTTACGTGCCACAGTCCCAAAAAGAGTATCCGTTCAGCTCTAACCTACTTCCAAATTTCGTCTATAATCTCGCCTATATTACGACTCACCTTTCCTCTCGCTCTCATCCTCACCCACGCCCCCCCCTTCTCTTTTTTCCTTCTCTTTTTTTCTTTTATTTCCCTTCCCATTATACGTAGAATCTTGATCTTAGATATTAGCCTGAATCTGCGCATTATCTACTTGGTCTCCATTCTTTATTCCAATCACCCACCCCCTCCAAGTCATTAAGTCGTAAACTGAGGAATACTTATATATTTATATATATAAAGGGAAAAAAAAAAAAGAAATTAATAAGGCTGTTCCCCTCCCCCGCTGATTTATTTCATGCAAGATCATAGGTCTGATCACTCTATGTGCTGTGACATAAACAGCCTCCTCACTGACTTGAAAGGTGCGTTAGAAAAACACGACCCGCAAGATGTCTATGAGTTTCTGATCGCTTGTATACGCACAGTCCAGCAAGAAAACAAGAAGGAACCAACGGACCAGTTGCGTTACTCGGTAAAAACCTTATTATATTTCAAACTTATTTCCATATTCATGATCGATATTTGCTATTATGATTACTATTTGCATCCATTCCTCTTCCCCTCCCAATTTCCTTTCACTGAAAAAAAAAAAAAAAAACAAACGAAAACGAAACCCAAAACCAAAACCAAAACCAAAACAATCACCGTGAATATATGCTGTAATGTGTTAATTCATCGGGTGCCAGCGGAAATCATTACTTTTCATTCGTAGCAATCATGTTGCGTTCACCTGATCTTTTAGATAGCACCCATAATCACTTGATAATTCGGAAATTTCACCACGTCATATCGTCCATTCGTGTTAGATCCATCTAAAACGTTCAGTTTTGACAGATTCCTCCCCCCCTTCTTTTTGAGACACGTAAAGCATAACTGAAATCATCGTGAATTACGTCATTAATGCTAACGTCACTATCATCTCGTTCTCATCAATTCTTTTTTTTTTCCTCTCTCTCTCTCCTCTTCAACCAAACCTCTTGATTCACGGATATTCAATCGATCAATCATCCACGGAAACAAAACAAATCGACTACATCTTATAACCCGACGCGACTCAATCCATATTAACAACCATCTTTACAACGCGGTGTGTTATGCTCTGTGCTGGTGCTTACGGATCTACTTGAAATCCGATCTTTAAACTACTGCTGCCATCTGTATATTTTCTTCCGCGAAACCCGTAGCAGGATATGCTTGGCAAATATCCCGAAGATGTCAAGAATATTGCCGCTGGCAATCAGCACGGGAGTTTTGTCAATGGGTCAACGAGTACGTGTGAGGGTGGGGAAAGAGGTAGTGGGTTAAGGGAAGGAGAGGAGCGAGAGGCGAAGAGAGGAGAAAAGAGTGTCGCCCGAAAAGAGTAGGCGTTATAGAATGGGAGGTGCAGGAATTGGGAAAAGGGAAAGAGTGAAAAAGGCCGGTAAGGTGATTGTGAATCAGATCATGAAACCAATGATCTGTGTGCATCATATGAATCTTCTCGAGTATATAATATACCGGCGATTCTTGTAATCAAAAGAGTGTGGATACAAGCACTCTTGACAATCAGTCAAAATTGCCCGTGAGCATCTTTTTGGTAGTTAGAATAGAGGAATATGGAAGAATTGGAAAAAGTTGATCATAAACTGGTTGTTTCTAAATTTTGTTCGAATTACTGATTCTTACCTTTTTTAATCAACATCAGATGACAGCCGAAAAAGACAAAGGTTAGGAGTTGATCATCAGTAAGTATTTGGTTCATATCGTGTTTATCATTACTGAAAGAAAATACTCCATGAAAAGTCTCTTCCGCTCCTCTTTCACCTACCTTACACATATATACGCGTCGTTTTGCACAAGATCTTGCTAACATGCATCATCGCGTTTGTTCTTATGAATTATTTAGCACACATATGGACTCTAGCGAAATGGATGAAAATTATGCGCCGTCGTTTGCACCCAGTCCACAAGGCCGCTTCAATCGACCTACGTGTGGGAAGCGTCGTTGTTCCGTTAGCGGCGAATCGTTCGACCCAGCAAAGTCAGCGTTACCAACACCAATCCACAAGACTGCAACTATCAAAAAACAGATCGAAGAGGCAACTCGGCAGAATTTGCTTTTTAAGAATTTGGATCCTGAAACTAGAGAACATATCGTGAGTATTTGATGGGGGGAAAGTGAAGGAATTGAGCAAATAGAAGGGAGCCTTATGCGTATGGATCAATTTGTGAAGCATGAGAGAATAGCATAGATTTGATGAATAGAAAGGAAAAAACGCTATACGCTCTATTCACTACTTGATTTCGAATTGTCACCACTGACACGTGTCCCATCATTTCTTTTTTATTCAAGTACGATGCCATGTTTGAAAGAAACGTGATGGCAGGCGAATGTATTATCAAACAAGGCGAACCTGCCGAACTCTTTTATGTTGTCATTCATGGATTGTTCTGCGTCTACGTAAACGATACATTCATTACCTCTGTTGGAACTGGCGGATCGTTTGGTGAACTCGCATTAATGTACACGGTAAGTTGATGGAGGGGTTTCGTGCTTGGATGGGGTTCGCTCTCGGTGAATCGGTTTCGCTCGCTCTTTATTGTCCGAAGTATTGAAAATTTTTTTCTTACGCGAGTAACGTTGGGGTTAAATGTGTGTGTGTTTTGTCATTACTTTGTTATTACGTATCGCTCACATTCGGCATTCGTTTATCATCAATATTTATAGAATCCGCGTACTGCCACAGTAAAAGCCATGACGAATGGGACACTGTGGGCGGTAGATAGAGCCACCTACAATCGTATAGTAACAAAAATCGCCTATAACAGAAATACAGTGTACGAGAGCTTTCTCCGCAGCGTAGAAATATTCAAATCGCTAGAGTCTGAGGAAATAACCAAGCTCGCAGATGCTATGGAAGCAGTCGACTATGAGGACGGCGAGATGGTCGTTTGTCAAGGAGAGGCTGGGGAATTGTTTTACGTTATTGAAGTCGGGTCTGTGGATTTGGTGAAGCACGATGGAAGACGAGAGATCCGGTTACCAAGTCTTGGACCCGGAAAGTATTTTGGTGGTAAGTTTTTGGTCTCTTGTGCGTGTGTGTTTGGGAAGAGGGAGAGGAGATGAGAAGACGAACATTAGAAAATACCACCATAAGAAGGAAATGTGTGTGAGAGTGTGATCTTTTCAAGCGAAGCCGGAAATAATCCGTATTCCGCGCGCCAACTCTAGATTATTTGTTTCCTACTATCTGTCTATCACGTATCCTGTCTTTAACATCTCTTTTTCTTTCATCTCGACTTTCAATTTCAGAACTTGCCTTGCTAAACGACACTCCACGTCAAGCAACAGTCAAAGCATGTGGATCTGTTCGCCTAATTACTTTGAAACGTGATGCATTCCATCGTCTTCTATCAACGACGGTCATAGAAAACATGCGTCGCCATGCTAAATCATACAATAATGTTTCGACATACAGTGGGGCTGGAGGTGTGAACGTGTTGCACACAACTTAGAAACACCTTCGCTTATGAAGTCTGGATGCGGACTATGCTATGAATTATATTATTATTATCTATGCAAAAAGAGAAAGGGGCATTATGGAAAAAACACAATCGGGGGCGTGGGCTTGATTCTAAGCGGGGTAAAAATAAGGTAAGATTAAGACGTGATATATATGAATATATCATATATGTAAGATGTAAGTATAATTAAAGATATGGACTGTTTGCGCGCCGTCCATATCTTTTCTTCTTTTCCCTTGCGCGCTTCCCTAATTTCCCCCCTTCTTTTTTTTATCCCCTTTTTTTTCAAGCCCTTCTCTTCACGATTTTCCATTTTACACCCCTTTCTTTATATTGTATTTTTAGTTTTCTCGCATTCATTCTTCAAACCACCCCATTCCTTTTTCGAGTTCGTGATTAGTCAAACGGATTATATTTTTTAACTTCGTAAAAATTTTTTTATTGACATATGGGAAAACGACCCACATTTAAGCTATATCATATTCCTGTAAAGAAACGACCCGCCAATACATAAGCAATCCCCAATTAAGGGGATATATATGACATATTATACATACAAATTTCCTTCCTACAAGATGGCGGGTTTTTCGTATTCTCCAGGAAGCTTATAACAATTTTACCTATGAACAATTTCATATTTTATTATTTTTGTGTTGTAATAAAGTATTAGGGTATGTCATTAAGTACGTATTATATATACACCACATCAATGTCAAATGCTTACAATCAAATTATCAGAAATGGGGTATTTTACCTTGGCTTAGAATTTACAGTGAATATTCATACCAAAAACATTCCAATTGATTGGAAGTTGCGAAGGGTAAGGCAACGAGAGAGTTCTCCGAGTGATGGAGGATTGCGTTGTAGGGAGAACGAGAGGATGCGATACTTGTTCAACAAAAAAGAGTGATCAATGGTGGTCAATTGGAATATTGGTAAATCGGGAGACGGAGCACAGCTGAAGGCATAGTATATCGTTCAATCGATGATATGTTTCGGATACGGTTTGTTCTTCGTGTGCTGTTCTTAGATTGACAATGTGAGGTGAGAAACATAAGCAATCTCCGTGTGATTGACAAAGAGAGGCTGGTTGTAAGAAAAAAAATTACAAAATGCAGAAGTCACGCCTTTTCAAGGTTTTCCGCATCAAGACTATGTTACCTTTCTATCGGATGCACCCATGCGCCAGCTTGCCTTCTGTAGATACGATCGGCTATATAAGATGCTGCGTGTTAGATGATCTGGATGAGTCGGGTAACTATATAATGAGGGGTGTATTATCGTTATATGGATTTTTGAATAAGTTTGTGTTTCTGTCGTTGTGTTTGTGTATATATATATATATACATATACGTACATACATACATATACATATATGTATACTTGATATATGTATGTTTGTATATGTAAACGTAAGTATGCTGATTGATGTATGATAATATTACAATAGACGTACAGAGAAAAGAGAATAGCCTAAATGAACTAATAATATACATAAACATACGTAATATGCATAATATTCGCAGCATGAAATAACATAAGAATATGTGATTGCATATATAACATATGCTCTCCTGCATGACTCTGTCATTAAAGACGTTCTTTTAAACCACCAACTCATAATAGAGAAAAAAAATCTCTATCTTTTTTCCTTTTCAGCATTCCCCCGCATTGCATAGCGTTTTACTTGGTCATAAATAATCTCCGTTAAAATGCCTCATATATTATGTATAACATCCATATATATCCACAGCATCCCATACTGGAAACGTAGTCAATGTACTATTAACCGTCAACAATGACTAATTGTTTGTATTAGTTAGATGAAAAAAAGATGGTACGACGTGTCATCTAATGACGGCTCCACGCGTTAAATTTTGTCGCGCCGGTTATATACCAATTAAAGTTTAGTTCCGAAAATCCGGGATGTTGAGATCGGCGATAAGGAGTGTTAATAAGGGTACGATCAGGTGATGTGTAACACGTTAACTTGAGGCGAGGTTGTGGAGGCGATGAAACGGTTAAGACAATGGCATGATGCTAAGAGAACAACCACAGCAACAAAGGAAATAGAGAAAAGAAAAGAAAAGGCATTAATATAGAGAACAAAACGGTCCAAGTCAAAGTAATTCCAGTACATATGTTACATGGCGACATGAATGGTGTGAATGGATGACAAAAGATATTAGAACAGCATGAATGGGGATAAATGGCGTGACAAAATCAATTCAGGGGTTCTTACTATTATTGGCTGGAATAACATTAATGCCAACAAAGTCTGCACAATGAAACCTGCTTTTCTCTATTTTTATTATTTACCGCTTGCTTATTAACCTCCCCCCCCTCTCCCACCCTTTCTCTTCCCCCTATTACTCATTATCCGGACATCCGAATCTGAGGATTCAGGCATCAGGAGACATTTAAGTGGCTGAATGAGAACTCAAACAATGTTAACATGCGAACGAACATTCTTCGTGGGAATATGTACCTACTTTTTGTTGCATGACATTTTCTTGATGTAATTGACTGTTACTTTTTTTTTTTTGCCTTTCTGCCATTCGGGATTAACTCTGTCGCGCCCGAGTGATACGCATGATTCTCTTTCCTGTTTAAGCTTACGTACTGCTCATATAACAGTACAAAAAAGCGCTAATGGTAAACTGAAGAAGGTAAAAACAAAAAAAAACTGCGCCACTGATTTATTTCTTTGTTATCAATGCAAAGAGTAACTTTCATCTGCTGATGCTAAAAATGACAGAGAGGGAGAATGAGAGAGAGAATAAGTCTCTGTGTTGCGTGTGAGTGAGTGAGAGTGTGTCGTCATTTGTTTGTCAAGCGGAAGCGTAACGATCTTTTTCAAATTCAAAGTCCAATTCTCGTTGATCAAAGAATGTGAATCGCTTGATTTCTATTGTGCCATTGATTTGGAGCCAACAGGGGGTTTGATTAAGTCAAGTCACCGGATCATGACTCGTCTTGGATGACTCTAGAGTCGGTCATGTTTCTTTCTCTCTTGAACTAAGAAGGAAACCGTTGCTATAACGCAAGAATGTGACGCAACTGGACTACATCTTTCGTAAAACCCCACAGAAGACACCAGAGCTAATTTTCTTGTATGATTTGTACAACGGTTTCTTTCAGGTTATCATCATGGCTATATATATATGCGCACAAAGACAGTAGGCAAACCACACCCACATTTGGTACGGATTCAGAATGCTCTTTTCACGTTTCACCCGTATTTGCTAAAAGACGTTCTTAATGAAACTCTATTTTTTTTTTAGTTTTCGAGTAACATCAGTGAAACTATCGTACTTTTTATTAATATACACAAAATTACTGAACACCTATCGGAGAAGCTATACCTCTTAAAATCCTTCCCTCCGATCACTCAAACTTCTTCGATCCTGATCATTGGTTTGCATTTCCGAAGAGAAAAAGCTTCTTCTTTATGAAACCACTTCGGCGGGGATCAATGCACTATACCTGTGGGTGTCAACGAAAACATCATACTCACTCGAGCTACTAATCAAAGAAAAACTGTATGCTATGTAATCCCCATGTAATCGCCATGTAATCTGCATGATCATTGATTCTTGAGTAGCGTTATTAGGGCATTGGAAGAGAGTGCTGAGGGTAGTAATTACCGAATATGCCCATGACAACTTAAACTTATGGAACGATCGCATGAGATTATGACCGAGGCGCATCAAAAGTTCTAACCGGTCGTTTATTTAGCGACTTCTTCCCGGGAACTCTGATCTTTAAATTCAATAGACTATCTGCGTAATTGAAAAATCTAGATAGCAGTTTTAAATCAAAGTAAGGATTCACCGAGTGTTAAAACGAAGATAATAAATCAAACAAACGCATTCATCACATATTCAGGAGTCGGTTCTCATTAGTTAAACCGCTTTTCTAAAGAATCTAACCTTTTTTGAACAGTTATTGTGTAATGTGATCGATTACAAGCCAAGCATTTTATTGTTTCAGTTAGTCTTGTAGATAGCATCTGCTTTCTTATGCACTAGCTGTTTAAGAACAAGTTCTGCAGTTGTCAATTAAATCAGAACTTGAATCTCACGTCGACGCAAGGAAAAATAACGGATATAAATTTTTTAAGACATTCAATTATTGATTGGCATATTCTGGCATTGGAACAATAGACGAATACTCTCACTTTGCAAGTGATATGTAGGTTTTAAAACGGGGTTTTGAAAGTGGGATCAAAAGTAGATTAGGCTTGTTAGTTCTCATACAAAAATTTGAAGTGGCTGGACAGCTTCCAATCCAGACAACTGTCTACATAATATGGAAATATTTTATATGCCAGTAAGATTTTTTTTTAACATTTCAGATAATGTGCAAAATATCGTTTATTTACCAATTAAGCCTTTCAAAAACTTAACTGTATAACTTGGAGGAATTTTGATAATATAATTATATTACACAACTTATCAAATGCCTGACTAGTAATTAGTAAATAACGTAAATAATAATACCAATAAAACCTTTTGTTGACGACCGACCGAGTGCTTTATGCTTTGAGGAAAGACAGCAGTAAATTTTTGTCAAGATGTGTTCAAAAATAATGATTTATAATATTTTATTTGTATGACAACATGTAGAACTTAAATATTGCAGCAGGAGCATCCAGCACCTATCACGCAGTGCCCATATTCAGTTAGCCTTCATAGAGGAATGATAATTAATCGAGAAGTTCTTGAAGCAGAATTCTAAAGAATTAATTATTATGACATTTGAATAATAATAATGTATCTTTGTACTCATGTCGTATTATTTAATATCACTAAAGCATAGCATCAATAAGCAAAACATTATTCGCATTTGGAATTAAATTTTATGACATAGTAAAATATTCGTGTATGGCGGCTGGTAATATAAAGTTACTTTTAGCGGGACTGACTATTAATAATTTTTCTTCAATTACAGCAAACATAATATAATATCAAATAAGGTTAAGTAAAATTAAAAATAATATATCTTGTGGATCAAACAAAAGTTTAAATCACACTACTTTAGCTGCAACAAGGGGCAAGTCTACTTGGAGCTGTCAGAAAACATGGAAGCATTAATATCATTTTTGATGTCTGAAAAAAGAAGCAACTTATTCATCCAATACGAATTAATAAATCTAATGCTATCTCTGATTAACTAGTTTGAATTTTGCGAGAAAAATGTATACAACTTTTTCGCAATATGTCAACTACTGTCTGTTTGTTTGATGATGGGACTCATGCCTAGAATATTGCTGCAAGATTGGCCTGCATACATTAATATCTCACTTACAAATCAACATAAATACGTATTGTAGGGATATCATGATTGTATTTATTTATTACGTTATTACATTACTTCTATTATTTACTACTTTTGACAAGTACAATGAGCAACCAATAACAAAAAGAAAACTTTTCCATTTCTGATAAACACAAAATCCTCTCTAATGCAATGCAATAACTCATGCATATACATTACAGTAAATAGATGCATATGATAATGTTCTGACAATTAAGAGGCCCCAACCTGTGTAGATGTTATACGAACATGTTACCAGATATATATGAATGACTAGAATCTTCACCAAGCCTCACAGTCAGCATGCAAACAAAAGACGGTTGCAGACATATAGTGAAAGTGCGATATACGATAAAACAGACTTACTGTTACCAGTTAGATTAATGCAAGTGTCATTCCTAGTTGCGAGAGACGGTTCCCAAAACGAATATCGGCTGAAAAAAAAAAAAAAAAAAACTTATTTTCAACGAAATGACATTGCTGTATCCCTTCCCTAAACTGCGAATTTATTAAAAAAGATACACAAGATTCATACATGATTATTTAACCTTTTTTTTTCCTTTTGTAGCTAGCAACAAATGACATCAACGAATGCAATGTTGTTGTTTCAATTGCTAATTGATGATGTGATAGCATGATGTAAATATTAACGGCCGTTTCATTTACCCACTTGGTGCACACAACTATTATTATAAGCAGGTGGATAATATAAAATCCTGCGGACAATACCTGTTATAAAAAAGGTATCAAGGACAATGAAACAAGCAGCGCTAAAAGAAAAAAAAATTTTTTTCATGTCAGCCTGCATGTGAATTTTCATGTGTTAGCATTGCGTAACACAAAAAACTTTTGTAATAGAATCAATAAAAAAACGCCTCCCCCAAAACAATATATTAAATTTTTTTATTGAGCCAAGAGGGAAAAAAAATTAGAATTGTAAATGCCCTGCTGCATGAAAAGGGCTTTTTTCGCGAATTTGTTAGTTTACATGTACTAATTAAAAATATATAGATTCTCACACACACATACACACGCATCCACTAATACCAATCTAATAAATTGCTTATGTAACTTTTTTTTTTTTTTGGAGAAAAAAAAAAGTTACCCGTGTCTAAATACTTTTTCAGTAGTTATTGTCTGTCATATGATTAATCAATTCGTTTTCTATACGCAGTCGTTTCGACGGATACAAACAGTAGATTGATGCGCAGAAAAAAAGGGATGTGAAAAGAAACAAACAAATTCATTGCTTGCACAGCCACATTTTATGGGGCGAGTAAACGCGTTATCCGATCTCCAATGATTATCGGAAATTTCTAATTCTCTTTGATAACCGATCCAGATAAGGGATTGGATAGATGGTGAGCTATTTTGTGATGAGTTGGTCCGAATCGTCGAGATGATAATGTTATATATGAGTGATTTAACATTTAATATTAATCTTTCCAAATCTTTTCTCTTTCAACATGGTGCGTAGTGTTTATGAATACGTGAGTGATACGTACGGTTCGTTTATTTAACCATCAGAAGCAATTCATGCTTCAAAAAAAAAGTCAAATCTTCAATAATGTAATACCGTACGTAGCAATTCATTCATGGCTGTCTTATATATCTGCTATATACTACATTACTAAATACAAATGCAAGAAAGGCAGCAGCAAGATATGTACTCTATCATGAATAGTTTAAATCTAGTTTTATAGTTACAAGTATGCAATGAGTATAATACATCATAACTCTAATAACACAAGTTATCATCGTAGAGGGAGCCTTCACTTTCGCTTTCCTCACTAGTGCTCTCTTCGATATCGCTCTCTTCACTCTCACTTTCTTCACCGTCGCTTTCTCCACCATCGCTTTCTTCATTATCGCTTCCTTTATTCTCGCTTTCTTCACCATCACTTCCTTCACTCACTTCCTTCACTTCCTTCACTTCCTTCACTTGCTTTACGTTCTTCGTCGTCGTCTATCAAACAAATGATGATTAACTAATATCTGTCAAGACGTCATTACAAAACGTGTTCACTCACCTCGCGTAAACGTTCTTTTGTTACCCATTCATCGTGCCTCTCGTTCCATCCAATATAATGAACACGATAAATCCGTTTACCATTAATCGTATCAATCTGAAGAAAAAATACTTGGAATTAATCAAGACTGCAAGCTATCCTGAGCAGACTGTACATTGGCATACGCAAGTGTAATACGCGACTATCTTGTACGAAAGTAAATAAAATAAACTTACATTTTTTATCTTCCCTGGATACCATACTATCACGTTACGTGCCCATGATATGTCCACAAGGTCTCCAACCTTCCACTGTGACTGCAACACATCAGACATAATCTCATCATCTATATCAAAACCCTTGTTGCAATTCCGTGCTTTTCCATTATTTTTTGAGTTTGTGTTCTTCCTTATGAACGATTTCCTGCTTTTAGTACCGATTTCTTCGATAGATGTAGCACTTGCTGCTTCCGAAAGACTGCTCATCTCTTCAGACTCTATACTATCATAATCCACCGCAAGATCACTGGATTGTATGTAACTGTCTGCCGAGTGATCACTTCTTGCAGATACGCTTGTAACAAGACTATCAGTATCAGACAGGTCGCTGCTATCTGTGTCGAAGAAACTATGCATAATTGAAGTGTCCTCCATTTCGGACAAAACGGATAGCGTTTCAGCAGAGGAATCGTCCTCCCTTCTAACATTTCTCCAAGACAATTCCTCTACTATTCTTTGTTTTTTGGAAGGCGTGAGATAGTCACTTGAATCGTCGTCGTAATAGGCGCTGAGCATCGAACTGAGATGAAAATTTCCAAAGATCATCAATTGTTAGAGATCGCAGTGACGTTGGAATTTGATTGCCCATCACCAAAACCGCAACAAATAAAACTTTATTATACTCACTCAGAGGCAGTATCGTTGTCCAGATGCTTCGTTCGACGTTTTCGTCCACTCTTAGATCCGACGCATCCTTTCAGCGTAGATGCTCTCGAACTGGAACTCTCCCACATCTCCACCATGATAACATCGTCATCTGAGCCATGATACTCATCCACATCTGAAGATTGTAAAATTTGAGTGATTCCATCTGTTTCTGTCGGGTTGCCTGTGCAATAAATAGCAATGTCAACATGCGAGAAGATAAAGTAATATTCACAAATTTGCTCACAAGTACCTTTATCAGCAATGCATATGAGCCCATCATCGAGAATACGCTGATCGATATTAGAAGGCTTCATAGTAAAGCTATACGGATTAAATGGTGATTCCCACCAATTTTGTCCGAATATAGGTATAAGAATTTCGCGAATGTTGTAACAATATTCAAGGGCAAATTCATAGCCATATTCCATTGGAAACCTATAATAAGAAAACACATTAATATAACGAGCACCTAACCTGATGGTACAATATTCACAACGCAACAACAAGCGCTTACCATTTCCCGGCAATCTTTGTACATCCGCCAACGTGCGTCACCACTGCCGCACTCCATCGGCGCACCGCTGTAATTGCTGCATAAAGGTGACGCGTTGGCTTGCCTGCTGCCTTCCATAAATTAGTCACATTTACGAGGTTTCTGTCAGTGTCCCAGCGAAGCCAGTTATCGTTCCATCGATATTCACAAACTGATATTTAATGATAACCATTGTTGATATAGAGATTAATTTAAAATTACTAGTGAATATCACATTGTAATCATCCCTTACCTGTTGTATATTCCTTGTTGGATCCGTTCTTAAAACAGTATTTATTTTTTCGTATCTCAAATTCAAGTCCTGTGAAGTGAAGGCTGCCTGTTGTTACAGAAACAGGTAACTCGGAAAAATCCGGAAGGTTATTCGCGGGTTTGCTTCGCTTCACAGTCTGTACAGGAGGCGGGTTAGGGATCGTGGGTGGTGTTGCCTGCAGACAGAGATGAAAAAGAAAAGCGACGCTAAGAATCTTGTTATACGTTCGTGCATTAATCCGCACTCGCAAACCAACCTTCTTTCCCGGTTCACGTCTCAACGGCCACGGGTTCCCGAAAAGTTTGGAATGCCTATCGCATCTAAAACATAAACTATCCCAAATCAAAAATGTCTCTTCTTCGCAAATCAGACATTCTCCTCTTAATTCTCCGAATCGGGCTTTTGGCCTTATCATAGCATCATTCTTCTTCATTCTTACGTCTTTTGTTCTTGCGTTCATCGGCGAATTATTTCCAGAGATACCTGTTTCGGTCAGATCGGTCGAGACATCAGAAAGAGATGAACCAGAGTCGGAAAACAGATCACTGTAATCGTTGGCTTCGTCGGACGCGCCGCAAAGATATGCGATGGACATACGAGATGAGGAACGGGAATTGTCGTGATACCCAGCAGGCTGAAAGAGAGGCTGTATTGAGAAAGTTGCTTCTTGGGCGAAATAAGATGGTGGCGGGGGGGTAGGTATTGAGTCCGACCAGGCACTACCATAGGACGAAGTGAAAGGATGTGCTACAGAGGTAGTAAAGACTGTATTTGTAGGGAGGTAGCAGGAAGTAATCGTGTCTGCAATGTTAGATTGCACATCGACCGGAAGCTGGTCAGTAGCATCCGTCGAAATTGAATAGGTAATATCTGGATGAAGGTAGTCCTTGACTTCGGTAGTGAGCGTTGCAGCCGGAACCAGCGGTTGTGGAGATTGTGTTATAGTTGGTGGTTTGGGAGGAGATGGCGGTGGAGGCGATGGTACTTTTGGTTTTGTTACACCTATGAAAAAATAAAGTTAAGTTTGAAAAACCAGTAGAACCACTTGAATACAATTATGATCGACTTGCTGATCGAACAATACCATTGTCAATAGACCTCCTCCTCCGTAACATTTGCCGTGTGACACGTTGCGTCTCGGGTGCTATTACATTGTCCAGATTGTCAAGATCAATGTCATCACCCGATCGCGCAAATCCACCTCGTCGATTTCTGTGAGAAAGATAAGGTAGTATTTCCAGCCGATAGATCCAGATGGTATAATCTCTTACTCGACATTAAACACAGGCAGTTGTGTACTAACCTTTCACAGCTAGAACACAAACACTCTCTATTATTATCTCCGAAATAGTCTTCACCGTAAAAACAGAAAATTTCTTCCCCTATTTTGATGTCCCGACATACTTTGAAGGATACAGCATTCGATGCCTGGCTTTTTCGGAAGAACTAGTTGGTGACCAGCGGAACGAGGGCAAGATGAAAAGTCAATGAAAAAGAGAAGACTGTTCAACAGAAACAAGAATGAGTGAAAAAAGTCAATAGTACCTCCACGTTGGGCTGGCAATCGTGGTTGACGAAACGCCCAGGGCCAAGAAACAAGCTCGACTTGTTCCTTTGAGACATATAAACAAACATTAGTTCAATTTACACTCGAATTACTACCAATTCAATATCAATTCCATTAGACTCTTTTCCTCAACACCCTCCTCCCCTCTTCCTTTCCCCCGACAACCGCCCTTTCCCTCACCCTTTCTCTCACCCCTTATACTCCTCCTTCTTCCATTCCTGTCTCAACCTGTTTCCCATTCACGCTTCTATTAAAGGGTTTGCCTCATACCTGTTAGATGAGTACATGATGGTAAAGTCACGTCCTTCTTCGATGTCTCTCTCTTCGTCAGCCTCAAGAGGCACCAGAGTCCCTGAGCAATGAACCAGCTGGTCTCCTACGCTAAGATCCTTCGTTGCTATTACACAAGCTTCAGGTTTTCCAGACCTCGCTTCGTATCTTATAGTCTGACTCACTTCAAAACCTGCATCGGGCCGGTACATTGACAAGTAGCGCCGTGCATGTCTTGGAAGAAAAAAAAAGAAAAATAAATGGGGAGGCCAACAGGCTAAATCGAGACAAACAAACTCAACCTATGAGAGAATACCGAGTACTTACTGAGAGAATTGCTGCCTACTCCGCTCATCTAGATCTCTAAAGCGTTCGGAAACTTCAGGAATCCTGGTATACGACAGATCGCACATGTAAACAACCCAATCGCCAAATGTAAAGAAAATCAAGATCCTTTACCGACCCTGGGCTTTCCCTCAACTTACTCCAACAGTGCGCCAAGAGCCGACTTTTCGTCTTTTCGCTCCACAACATGCTTCTTTATAATCTCATGTATCACCTCCTGCGATACCTCAAACGGAGCAAAGTTGTCCTGTATTTTTCTCGATTCAAACCAAAGGTATAACTTGTCCAGCAACAGATATGAACAAAAGTCGTCGAACTCGGACAAAAGCTCTAGCGGAGTACGCGAGTTGCGGCCATTTAGAGTAGACATCTTATATATCGAATGCAGTGCGATGTGAAGAAATATGCCTTCAAGGTAAGCGGGAAGACACTAAGAAGCTTGAATCGACAACAAGCTTCTCTGGGGTGAAGACCGGAGACACGTAACAAAATCAGGGTTCGAAAAATGAGCAAATTGAGCAGTATTTGTTGTTTAGGATTGCAAATGAAACGGAAGGTGATAATAGCGCGTGCCCTGGTTGCATTAGGAAGGCACAATTTTTCAGAGAAAAGGATTGGTTGTCATGCTTATCACATTCCCTCGTAAATGTAACGAGGGGAGATGGTACTTAGATTTATTGCCTGTTTGGGATTAGACCATGTGTTCAAGGGGAAATTAATTCAACGGAAGAAAACTTCCGACAGGGAAAAAAGTATCAATAATAATAAGGTGACAACTACAAGTCTGCTTGGACACTTTCGACAGAGTCTTTGCAAACGACAACAAACAACTGTAGTGGTTCCAGGAGTAGAAAGAAAGAGAACGTCCAACGGGCGAGGAAGTTGCAAGGCCGATTGTTGAGACGATTAGCAACGATAATGCTGTTGGTCGAATGCGGGACAACGATCGAGGTTGAGATAAAATTGTGCGAAGAAAAGAGATGACAGATGCGTGACTCGAGCCAGAGAAAGTGGGAACTGGTGAGTCCAAAAAGAAAAGCTCGTAGTCCGGTAAATCAAAGAGAGACGAGCACACTAGATTCAGGTATGACTCTTTCACCTGTGTCATTTTTCTTGGATTGCGATTAATTGCCCATGATCTTTGCGATTCTTTTTCTCGTTCACAGTTAATTGGTATTTGACCCCTCTGCGGATCAGGAAGTTGTGGCGAAGCGAGTACAAGGTAACTCGGGAAGCCAAAGATCGTGGGAAGAGATAGCCAAGATCTTTGTTAAATTTCACGCAGGCCGGATTATACAGATGCTATATGCTAATACTAATACAAGTCGCCTTCTAATTAAATATTTAAAGATCAGAATTTGATAAATCAATTTCTTTGGCCGGCGTGCTATTAGGTAAAATTTTCGCTTTTGTCTATACTTTACGAATTATTACTGAGAGTGTCCAGATCAGTTGAAGGCGCAGTCAATTACGATTAGGGGGGGGGGACGCAAAAGTGCATCGAATTAGTTTTCCTACGACGTTCGACAAGCCCGTTATTGAAATTGAAACTTGCAAATTCTGATGTAAAAGACTGTTCAATCCTTCTCCGGTGTAACACTTACCGTAAACATTACGTAAACGTCCTGTCACCTTTGTATTAATAGTAAAGAGTGCAGTCTTATCACAATTAAAATTGGATACGATTTCTATAATTCGCGTACATGCTAATCTTTTAAATTGGCTTCCCCTTATCATTACGACAAATTATGAATTCTGTAAAAGAAACTTGAAAGCCATCACTGTGAACTTGAGCTATTGTGGTTTTATTTCGCCAGTAAGAAGTTATTCATCGGCAGAGTGTGGGTATTGATTTAATCCCAATGGCCGGCTTTTTTTAAGTCTAAACAGTATTTGACGTTTTATTTTAAAAAATGTTTTCATATGAAGAACTTGTTTTTTCGAGGCCATCAGCTTCTTCGTATCTTTGTCGATTTCATTCTGAAAAAATTAAGGTCATACTAGAGATAAACAAATCATTTGCTTCCCAACTTTATGACTTGAAAAGACATTCGATGGCAAGTAAAACTGATTTTATTTTCTGAGATTCGCTTCGAATATTATGTTTAATAAAGAGTTGTTCCAATCACGCGATTCACAGTGATGAACCAATCATATATGGTCATATGATTAAAATTATTGAACGGCTGGCTGAGCAATATAAAAGTTTTTTGATTCCGGCTTAAAAGTGCTTTGTCTCAAAATGAGTTTACCTGCTAGCGAGAAATCAAGAGAAAAGCATGCACCAAGATACATCGTTTTTGTCGGTAGGATATTTGGTATAAATATCACGAATATTTTGCAAAAAAAACCGGTTCAATAAACTCGTTTCAACAAATCAATTTAGCCGGATTAGCCCATAACACAACGAAAGAAGAATTGATCAAACATTTCGAAGCAGCCTGTAAGCAAAAATGTTTATTCTATAGAATTGGTTTGTATGCTCGTCACTTGATTTAATTTATTATCATATCTGATAGGTGGGCCGTCTACAGTTCGAATTATTACTGATAAACATACAAAAAAAGCAAAGGGGTTTGCGTTTGTCGAATTTGAGAATGTTCAATCGATGAAAAATGCTCTTCGTTTCCATCATACAATATTCAAGAAAAGAAAGGTTTGACGATGACCTAATCCTTTACCTGCTGTCGAAACGATTTACACTGATCCCATTTTCATCTTTAGATAAGAGTGGAATTAACTGCTGGAGGTGGC